AAAAAAAAAAAAAAAAAAAAGGAATATCCAACACAGTATAGGATATGGGTAAGTAATTATTCTTTGGAAATAAACTACATAAGTGTCTCATTCAAATATATTAAAATATAAAATTAAACATATCAGCATATTGTCTTATTACCCTACAGAACTGTAACAGAAAACACACTTGATTTAATTACATTGTTTAAATATTACTCCCTTAAACATGGCTCCTAATCAAGGAAACATTCACCTTAAAATAATATTTTTGTAAATTTTATTTTTTCTTTCTTTTAAAATAAAAATAATAGCCTGGTCTGGCATGGTTCAGTCTTTGAGCATCAACCTATGATCCAGAAGATTGTGGTTTGATTGCCAGTCAGGGCACATGCCCGGGTTGCACATGTGGGGGGTGTGCAGGAAGCAAACTATCTCTCCCCTTAACCAAAGTTTTGGTTTCTGTGGTTTCAGTCATACAGGGTCAACCATAGTCTGAGAATATGATTTTTATTTTTAATCCTCTCCTGAGGATATGTTTTTTACTGATTTTAGAGAGAGAGGAAGGGAGGGGGAGAGAGAAACATTGATGGGAGAGAGAAAAACATCAATCAGTTTCCTCCTGTATGCACTCAGACTGGGGATCAAATCCACAACCTGTGTATGTGCCCTGACCAGGAATTGAACCCCAGACCCTTTGGTGCACAGGTCGACACTACAACCAACCGAGCGACACCAGCAAGGGCTACAGTCTGAAAATATGAAGTGGAAAATTCCAGAAATAAACAATTCAAAAGTTTTAAATTGCACAGTAAGTATTCTGAGTAGGGTAATGAAATCTCCCACCCTCCTGCTCCATCTCACCAGTGATTCAAATCAACCCTTGGCTCAGGGTATAGAGGTTTTATACACCCTCTAGCCCATTTTAGCCACTTAATAGCAATCACTGTTATCAGATCAACTGTCACTGAATCACAGTGCTTGTGTTCAAGTAACCATTATTTTACATAATACTGGGCTCAAAGTACAAGAGTAGCAATGCTGGCAATTCAGATATGCCAGAGAAGCCATAAAGTGCTACCTTTAAGTGAAGAGGTGAAAGTTCAGTATAATCCACAGCTTCAGGCATCCACTGTGGGGTCTGGAACACATCCCCCTCAGAAAAGGGAGGACTACTATACATGCAGGAAAACTTCAAATACTGCTGCAAAGTCAGTAACAACAAGACCTAAAGAAAAAGAAGTGAAAAGATTATCAAGTGTATGGATTCCAGACCAAAAAGCTAAAAAACTGGAAATACATTTTCTCACAAAGAATAAGGACTGTCTATACACAACCACCTTAAATAGAAATCACACAATCCTGCAGAAGTGACTTTTTTATTCCTAGTGGTGGCTACTTTAGTGATTTCAGACACAACTACAATTTTCAAAGCCTTCAGCTATCAGACAAAGTCTAAGTGCAGATGAGAAATCTACAAAATAATTCCCAGCAATGATATATAAGTTAATGGAGTGCTGTACTTTAGATCAAATTTTCAATTTTCTTGAAACAAATATTTACTTTAAACTCATGTCTTAAAGAGCTACAGGAAGAGTTTGAAGAGCTCTGAAATTCAGAGAAACATGCATGGGATGATGTAGGGCTGGGAAAGATTCTTAATTGTGACATTTGGCAAAAGTGTCAAACCCAGAAAAATGAACCATACCAATTCAAATTTTTTTCAGTTCATAAGATTTATCTCAATTATTTCTCATTTACAAAGGCATTCCTTTTAGGGCACCTTTATTTTTTATTGTATTTTTGGCATTTTTTTAAAAAATATATATATTTTTATTGTTGACAGTACTACAAATGTCCCCCATTTCCACCCCTTTTTCACCCTCCACCCAGGCCCCGCCCCATCCCAGGCTTTCAACCCACTATGTTCTGTGTCCATGGACTAAGTTATTTGGTTTATC